CAGATCACACTGTTCACTTGGTTCGTGGTTTTGCACCGCCTGCGTCAGCCAACCCTGCTATTGCAACCAATGCTGGAGTTGCAAATTCCACCCAAGCAAGGGGTGTAGGATCCAATGATGGTGGGACATTGGGAGGGTCTGGTTTTGGAGCCTCACCATTCCCAGGACTCGGACTTAATGGTATGGGTGGCACTGGTGGTCTGTTTGGAGCTGGGCTTCCTGACTTTGAACAAGTGCAGCAACAATTGACTCAGAGCCCCAGCGTAATGAGAGACATAATGAACACGCCTGCCATTCAAAATCTTATGAATAACCCTGACATAATGCGGAACTTGATTATGAACAACCCTCAAATGCGTGAAATTATTGATCGAAATCCCGAGCTAGCACACGTACTTAATGATCCTGGCACGCTCCGTCAGACACTTGAAGCAGCAAGAAACCCCGAGCTTATGCGTGAGATGATGCGTAACACTGACAGAGCCATGAGCAACATTGAAGCTACTCCTGAGGGATTTAACATGCTCAGGCGGATGTATGAAAACGTACAAGAGCCATTTATGAATGCGACAACAATGGCTGGGAATGCTGGGAGTGATGGTTCAAACCCATTTGCATCTCTTTTGGGGGCCCAAGGTGGCAACCAAACCAGATCTGATTCAATGAATGGTTCTCCCGCTCCAAATACTAACCCACTTCCCAACCCATGGTCCTCTACTGGCAGTAAGCTCTTGCTCACTTGTTTCTGTTCTACAATGTTTTGGTTTTGAAGATGCAGTTTAAACTTTGTTTGCTTTGAGTCCCTTATGTTCGTTGGGACATATTGCACATCCCTTAATGAACCTTTTTTTATAACATTCTATGTTGTCCGGATAAAGATGTGGTATTTCATCTATCAGTCAATGGCACAAAGTATGACGAGGCAGAAAAGTATTCTCCTTTTCTAGATAAGAGGAGAGTTGGGCTGTGGACTAGATAAGAGGTATTAGGCTTTTCTCATCCTTGGTGAAGCGGAAGATACCACTTAAGCTAGCAGGCATCTTCTCTGATTTCAACTTATAATTGAATTGGTTGCTGCTTTGTCCAAAATAGCAGTGGTAGTAACAATATTAGTCACAATACAATGAAGAACTTTAGGAAACTTTCCAACCTTTAGCTTCCTCTGGTTAAGGTCAAGATTTTTATGTTCCAGTGTTGTTTTAGTCATTAAATCAGTCGTTAACTAGATCTGAATCTAGCAGCTGGAGTTGCCGAAACTAATACCACAGCATCGAATCCTATCAGTGATGCTAGGCTGCAGACACCAACTCCCATAGCTGGACTTAACTTTCCAGAGTTTGAAGCATTGGGTGCCCTGCCACAGGATTACAATTCAATGAATCAGTTTATGCAAAATCCAGCTGTTTCTCAAATAATGCAAAGCCTCATCTCCAATCCTCAGTATATGAACCAGGTATCATTTTATTCTCTAATAGAATAAGCTTGAGGATGAAATTTCTCCTTTCTTAACATTACCCGTCTGCAGATTCTAGGTTCCAACCCCCAGTTTCGAAGCATGCTTGATTCCAATTCTCATTTAAGAGAAATGATGCAAAACCCTGAATTTCTTCGTCAGTTGGCTTCTCCTGAGACTATGCAGGTATATTTGTTCCGTGTGCCTAAGCTTTTGACACATGCATGTGCTCTCTCTCTCTCTCTCTCTCTCTCTCCCAGTTCACTTGAACCTTATTTTTTGTGGTTTTGAATGAGTTTAACCTGGGAGACAGTGCTGCTAATGTTTGCATATGTAAGAGTGACGTATGATGTCCAATTAATGATTAAACTTGAAAACGGTACCTATTTGATTCTTGCTTCTTCATTGCCTTTATTTTATCTCTTCTCTCTTGCAGCTGCTCTTGACTGTGCAGCAATCACTTATGTCTCAGTTTGGTCGGCAACAGCAACAGTCAACCCAGTAAGAAGTGACATAATTTTATGTTCGATATGTCTGATAGATATATCCTGAATTGATATTTCTCCCTTAGCTGCCTGAGGATTCCATATTGACCACTATGGATTAATAATTATGCAACTTGATTGAAGTCTGAAACTGTATGTCAACAGTTCTTGGCCAGTTCAATTGGATGTTTTACTTTCTCCTCTGGACTAAGCTTTGAATTGTTATTGTCATTATTTGTCCTGACCTTGCATTTAGTTGTTAAAAAAGTTGGGTGCTGATCACTGGTTCAACTGGTTGGACAAATAATAAATTTAGTCACTTAGTTTAGAAATATTGGCTCAGGATCATTGAATCAACTCCGATTGGAAAATAATACATAACATAACTGTGCATGTTCATTGGTGCTTCCTTTTCAGTGGTCAGGAAGATCGCAGTAAATAAAAACCCCTTGTTTAGTGATATTTCCAATTAAGCTTCATGCTGACTTTTGGCTTTGGCTATGTTTCAGATTGCTGCATCTCATAACTTTAATTGGTTTGTTTCTGTTACCTGCAGGCCTGGCTTGGGCCATTTTTATTTTTTGCCTTGTAATACCATTTGCATTGCTTCTGTTTGATCAGTTGTCATTGTCATTACTGGTTTTTACTCTTAGAGTTGTACTTAATCAGTCTTTCTTGCAGGGAAACAGGTCAGACTGGTGGAACCACAGGTATCCAAGTCAATATCCAATTTCTATTTGCCTTTCTTCGGAACTACTTGTATGCCTGACAGATTTTAGGAGATGTTTTCACAGGCAATTCAATTTGTCTGCATTGCATCACTTGAAACTATTCCTAACGGTGTTTGTCACACTGAATGCTTTACTTGTGATGGGTTGGGTTAAAATTTGGTACATGGTGGGTTATTGTTTCTAATTTTCAATGAATGAAAACCATATTGTGAAGTGAGATTCCAGGAAAAAGTTCCCTGTCATTTGCCTAATTTAAAAGAGAAGAGAGCAATTATTTTTCTGTTTCAAATATATTCATCGCGGTAATTGGTTGCATGCTAATGGTTTTGTCAAATCAGGATCATTCAATAACACGGGGCTAGAGATGCTGATGAACATGTTTGGTGGGCTTGGCACTGGCAGCCTGGCTGTTCCCAATAGGCCTGATGGTTACTACTTACCTATCATTTCTTAGAAAAGGATTTCCTTTGTTTGTTCTGTACTAATCCTATCCCATAATCCTATCCCATATATTTCAGTGCCACCGGAAGAACTCTATGCTGCACAGCTTTCACAACTTCAGGAGATGGGTTTCTTTGACCGACAAGAGAACATACGGGCTCTGATGGCCACCGCAGGAAACGTCCATGCAGCAGTAGAGCGACTTTTGGGGAATTCCGGTTTATAGGTTGTAGTTACAACTTTTCTATTAATCTGGTTATGTTCATGTGGTGGCTGCTGAGATTGGTCATGCTGGACCTGAGATGTATTAAAGTGCCCATTTTGGGTATGAATAAGCTGATAATACGAGCCCTAAGTTTGTGGCACAAGCTATGGTCAATGGATTATGGTCTCTCTCTCCGGAGGTCTGGCAGTCCTCAGTGTAAATGCTTAAGAAAATTTCGTCATATGAATGGTTTGGCAAAATTTGTTTACTAAGGAATGCTTGCAAAATTTTACAAATATCCCATCTTTTTTTTTCTCGTGTCAGAATAACTTGTCTGGTAAGGTTCAACTTCCAACGAACCCAATAATTTTTATAAAAAAAATAACCAAACGACATGTCGTTTAAATGGCCCAACTCATGATTAACTCATTTAACTTATATCTCTCTTTAATTTATTCGGTTGCCAAAATATTGAACTAATTCAGAGTATTCCCTCATTTAGTTAATCCTAATTAGCTAAGTGGAAGTTATCTAATGTTAGAAATGATTTGATAATTTGGTATGAGCTTATTGACAAAGTTGCAAATAGCCAATTTGTCATTGACCTAATCAATCCAGTTCAACCAAATACCGTCATGTAATTTTTATTTTATTTTTTTTGGATGAACGAAAGTTTAGGGGAGGGGAGGCTACCCGATTCCTAGACCAGGACATACCAAAGTCTTTTTGAGGACTTACACAAGGGGTCTTAGCTCCTTTTTTAGTTTTTACAGATTACCTACCAAAAGAGATTGTCAGCAGCGGGACTCGAAAATGGGCCTTAATAGCAAAGAGAACAATCCTTACTAACTCAATCATCCCTCGTTGACATGTAATTTTTCTTTTAACCAATAAATAAGAGATGACTCCAACAACTTGAGACCTATTTCAACATTGAAAAGAAAAAAAATCCGAGAGCCGGTCAATACATATGACATGTTAATTAGTCATTGAAGTTGAATTTAGCCAACTCATAAATATATCTACTTCTCACTTTGTTGTATGAAATTTATGGACATACCATATCTGGTTAGACAAGCAATATGACAAGTGATACTTAGCTCATGTGCGGTAATTTAATACTAATGACCTATTTTCCAAATTCGAATTACAGGTGCAATGTATCTTAGCTTGTTACAAACGAAGATTTTTCCATATTTGGTGTCTACCATATTTGGTGTACTTGCCACTATTATTTTCCCAAGGTCATAATTGTCATTTCAATAACCAAAGCTTTCATTGCGTCTCTCATCCCCAACCGGTTCGCTTCCTGCCTCTATGAAAAGGTACCCAATCGTGATTGGCGATGTGGCCGTACCTTCATGCGTCGACCACCGTGTGATGGATCACACATGAACCTCAACGGTCGATATTGAAAGAACACAACCCTACACAAAGTGGCGCGCTGCATATTATTTCCAGAAGTTCCCATTACAACATGAAGAGTCGCATTGCAGTGCCCATTGAGATTGAGAGACGCATACTTTATACAGAACAACATGTGCGCATTGAGATTGAGAGACGCATCCTTTACAAACCTAACTAGTTGTAAACAAAGTTCAAGGTTTTGCCAACCAAATATTATATAAACGTTTTGGGCACCATGTGCGCACGGACATATAGTTACCTATTTTTCTCACAACACCATGGCTAACCAGCAGAACACCACCAATAACAACACCAACCGCCTAGCCTCCTCCGCTGGGGGACAGCAGCAACCCGGTAACGACAACGTTAATGTTAACGTTACCGGTGTTGCTGCTACTGGTACTCCATCATTTCCAAACCCTCCCCCTCCGAGCACTGTTCAACTCAATGTTGCTAGAGGGTCATCTGTGAGTCCTCCTGGTCTCAATAGAGGACCATCTGGCAGAGGGTCATCCAACACTAGGAGGGTTTCGCCCTCTGGCAGAAAGTCTCCTCCTGGTGGCAGAGGATCACCCTCTTCTGGGAGAGGGTCATCGTCCTTTGCCTCTTCTCCTGGAGCGGGACAAATCACTCAGATTGGTGGAAGAAATTTCACTCCTCTCAGTGTGGATATCACTATAGGAGGAGGGTCAGGGACCGCAGGAGGGAGCATGATTCCTGGCAGCAGCAGCGGCTCGCCACCACGGGCCAAGCGCAAAGCTGAGATAACTGCCCCAGAAGGAGTGAGCCCGGTTTGCAGCGTATGCAAACGCTCAAACTTTTCCTCATGGAAAGCATTGTTTGGGCACATGCGTTGCCACCCAGAGCGTCAATGGAGGGGCTGCTTCCCACCCCCAGGATTCGAAGAAGCACAGCGAGCCCTGCAACAAGGTATAAATAATATATCAACTAACAAATGGCACTGCATGCATGGAAATCGCTGTAACATTGAACATTAATTAATCAATTTTCTTATAAACTTTAATCGATGTTCTTGGTTTGTGTAGGGGAAAGGCTCGGTGCGCTGCGTGGGTTTGATCTGAATGAGGCAAGTGATCCAGAAGAAGAAAATGATGGTGGCGGCTTCGACCTCAACATGCTTCCCCCAGACGAGGATAAGGATGGTGGCGGCAGTAGTGGTGGTGCTGCCAAGACTGGTTAATTAATCATACATGCAAGCATGCATGTTAAGTAACGCGCATTTGGCATAGATCGTAATAAGCGCGTTGGCGTTTCTTAAGTAATTTTAGTGTCTTTGTTTGTGTCACTGTTTCTCTGTAACTGGTGTGCCCTGATGATTTCATTACCGCTGGCCGTCAGCCGGAGAGATGGTGATCAGATTAATATATGTTTGAGTCTATCGATGTTAAGTCTATTTCTTCTCTATATTCTTTATTATTAAATGTATATAATTTTTGTTTTGATATACGTGTTTCGTTTCATGGTTTTTTTAGTGTCTGTTGCTAAAAAACAAAAACCGAACATTTCTTCGTTGGATTTCATGAATGTGGGGTCATAACTATATACATGCATGATGCATGTATGGTATAATATCCAGCTTAAAATGGAAAACCATCTATATATATGGAGTTGTAATTAAGGTTAGGGCGGGATGCCTTGGTCTGATATATGGACTTCATATTGCCTTCAATATGGTGGCAAGAAGGGCAGTGAGTTTCAAGGGTTTAGGCCGGTAGAAGTACGAGATAGTTCAATATCAATTCAAGTAGTTTGTTTAAACCCTAATCTCGAAACACTTAGTTAGTACATATATATGGACGTGTGGATATCTTTTGTTGATATTATATTTGCGAATCTTTTGTTGATTCATGTTATGATCAAAAATTACTTTCATTAAGTGCTTCGGATTTAAAGTTTGTACGAGAATCTAAATTTGAATATAAACTTTTGAATCTTTTATTTAATGTCTTGAGCTCGTAATCTTTAACTATAAACTCTAGCTTTTTGAAGACCCTAAAATGCTAATTGAACAAAAATAAATTTAAAAACCTAGAATGGTAATTGAACAAAATAAATTTAATTAAAGAGGAGGAAATTGTAAAATACACGAAGAAACAAAATTGAAAAAAAAGAAGTGTTACCGTTTACACACCAGTGGAGCAAAAACTGTTGACACGTGTGCAACCGGTGCCAAAAGGGTACAAACTGAATTTAGAACCGTCCAAGTTCAGCAGTAGTATGTTACATCTAACGGTGTTCAATCCAACTTCCACAGCGACCAAGTCTCTGGGTCCCCCAAATACTTTGCTGACCCACCAATCAAAAATTTCCACGCTCGTTTTTTAATTTTTAATTCCCTGATTAATTCAAGTCCTCCGACACTGTTTTGGGCAAAATCAGTTATATGAGTTTCCGCCCAAAATTTCGTTAAAGCTTGGAAGAGAAGAAGAGAGAGAAGAGAGAGACCGTTACCGGCTTATGCGTTTTGTAAGACACGCGGGCAAACACGGCCTTAGCCTCACAAGTTCTTCTTTTACTTTGTCAATTTGTCAGACCTCCCAAAAGCTTTAGCTTTGGTCTTTGATCTCTTTCATTGCCTTTTCACAAGAATTTGGAGAGAGATTGGATCTCATTATTATTCTTTTCCTTTACACGCCATTTTCACGTGGTTATCTCTAAACAGGTATCTTTATCAAATTGTAATGCTGTTTATGTCTCGATCAGTTTCTTAATTTGGACAAAGATTTGAAATTTATTCAACTCTGTTAGTTCTTGGATGAAACTGAAATATTGGGTCTGTTTGTGACGTTTGATTTTCAGTGATTTGGGTTTTTACCAAGTAATATGATGGAGAAGGCTGACTCTGGGCAGAAGCTATACACACGAATGCGGCTATGGGAGTTTCCTGATCAGTATGTGATTGAGCCCACTGATGGCTCTCATGGTTCCTCTTTGGCAGTTAGTAGGGTTGATGGGTCTATGCAACTCATTGGTGGGTTTTCTTGGCCTTTTGTAAAGTAAGAATCTTGATTTCAGTTCTTGTCTTAATGCTAGACATTTTATTGTTTTGTGTATTTGGGTTTTCCAATTCTCCAGATAAGCTTCCAGATTCAAACTCTGTTCGGGTTCCTAAAATTCGAACTATTTTTGGTGTCGTTGGAATTCTAAAGCTTTTGGCAGGTAACATTGTCTATCTTTTTTTATATTTGGAATCTTATATTTGTAATGATATTTATATGCCGGTTAGTTGCCCATCTAAGACCCATGTCCCCGTTTTTTCATTTTTATTTTATTTTTTATAATGTGACTTCGTACATTAACCAATCCTTTTTTTGTTACACACTAAGTATTGTTGAGAAATTGTATAATTCTTTCTGCCCCTGGAGTTTCAGCTTTTCCAATTCTCTTATCTTAATCCTTTATGCTTTCAGGATCATATTTGATGGTTATAACAGACCGTGAATGCGTCGGTTCTTACTTGGGGCATCCTATCTTTAAAGTTTCATCGTTGAAGGTTTTCCCCTGTGACCACTCTTTAAAGAATTCCCCTACAGAACAGGTAAATCTTTTGTTGCTCTTATCACTTCTTTAGTCTCTCTTATATGGTTCCTATTGATTTTTTTTTTCTTTATCTGGGAGTGCTTATATAACTCTATTATTGTTATACCTTCTTGGCAGAAAAAGATGGAGACTGAGTTTTCTGGGCTGCTAAATATAGCAGAGAGGACTCCTGGTCTTTATTTCTCATATGAGACCAATTTAACGCTGAGGTGAACTGTTTTTTACGTTAAGTTGCCCACCCTCCCCTTGAGCCCCCATGAGAAACAAGAAGAAGAAGTAGGGTTACATTATATTTGACTCGAAATTGTGCTAGTCATTATGATAAAAAATTTGTGTAATTGCAGTGCACAGCGATTGCATGATTTAGGTGATGAATCCAAATTGCTTCCACTTTGGAGACAGGTAATTTGCAGTAACTGACTGACTTTTATTATTATTTTTCTCTGAAGTGTTTTGAGTTTGACAATGGAAGACTGAAATTGATCCTATTTTATTATTGTATCCAAAGTTATGTATAAATGATGGTTTCACATATCCATGTTTTATGCTTGGTCTTCATGGTTTCAATCTCATATCTCCAAATGTTTTGCCACAGGCAGAGCCTAGATTTCTCTGGAACAATTATATGTTGGAAGGGCTTATAGATAGTAAGGTGAGGTCATTGCCAAGTTTTACTGTTACCTGCTCAGTTTTCTGCAGAACTATTACTTCCCAATTTACTAACTGCTGAGCACTGATACGGTCTTTGCTTGCAGCTTGACCCTTATCTGCTTCCTATTGTTCAAGGGAGTATCCTTGCCTCGTTTTTGCTTGTCAGTTTTTAGATGTTTCTCATGCGTGCTTACATGCCTGCATGCATGCATAGAACATGGATGCACGAGCATACATTTAATATAAACATACACAAGTGTGTTGTTTAGTTTGTTTATTGCCTTTTGTGTGCTGGTATTGGAATTATAAATTGTTTTTCCATTGGAAGGTTCTCCTTAATTGATCATCAGGCTTTCATCACTTTCAAGCAGCCATTGGAAAAGATATTATTGATGTTACTCTGATTGCTAGGAGGTGCACTAGGAGAAATGGTATTCAAAGCTTGTACTTTTCAGTTATTTATTTATTGCTAGGAGGTGCACTAGGAGAAATGGTCTGCTTATTTTATAATTGTCATACACATGTAATTGCAGATATGTGGATAGTACAGATGTTAGTTTTAGTACCATACCATCTATGAGGGAGAACTTAAGATTTGGATATTTAAGATATTATTTTGGCATGGACTTAAAAGTGTTTGAACTATAGACCAACTACTCTTCACTTCAATACGTAACTAAAAGAGGACAGTTGAATGGTACGGTAAGAAAGTACTAGAACATCTAGAGTGATGTGCTGAACTTAACTCTGTTGCATCTGTTCTGTTCAGGAGGAAGTAAAAGATGTAGTGATTTCTGGTGCGGATATATGTGGATAGCATATGCATTTTCAGCAGAATTATATTTATACTAAAACTTGGGATTGTAGAGGTTATATAATCTTATGCAGTTAGTGGCATGAAATCCATCAGAGATAAAACTTATGTCATTGTTAATCTAGTCTAACAATTTGCATTTCTCGAAAGGCACTCGGATGTGGAGAAGAGGAGCTGATTCTGATGGGTATGTAGCAAATTTTGTGGAAACTGAGCAGATTATGCACTTGAATGGGTTTACAGCATCATTTGTCCAGGTAAAATGATATCTAACTGTACATATGCAATCGTGTTATGGATTTTTTGTCTACTTGGTTCCTCTTTGTGGGGGTTTCTGATCTACTGTCCTAAATGGTAAAGTTAACTGTCTAAATGGTTTACACATTGTTAATTGCATTTTGCAGGTTAGGGGGTCAATTCCGTTGCTTTGGGAGCAAATTGTTGATTTAACATATAAGCCTAAGTTTGAACTTGTGCGACTTGAGGAATCTGTGAGTTGATGGTTATTTGTTTTTACATTCTAAGATTCTTTCTGTAGCATTCTATCTCCATTTGACTGGTTGTGTACTGAATGTTATGCAGCCCCGAGTGGCTGAGCGGCATTTTCTGGATTTAAGAAAGAAGTATGGGGCTGTGTTAGCTGTTGATCTTGTGAACACGGTGCGCTCTTTCTTTTTGAAACTTTGTGGAATAACTTATCTGATAATACACAACCAGTAGGCATGCATGTGTACTCCATACAAATGTATGTGTGCATGATATATATACAGAAATTCTCCTATGTGGACATCCGGATGTTATTATCGTGCGGATGCCATGTATTTTGTACTACCCCTCCCTGCTTTTCTGCCTGTTTACAATAGCATCCGCACGATAATAACTGTGTGTATATATATATATATATATATATTTATTTATATGTAAAGATTGTGGATATGAACACAAGTTTGTGGGTCAGTATATTCATAGGTGTACACACTACTGAACTTTTCATTATTTGACATTCACATAAGTCGGCTTTCTTATCTTACCAGCATGGAGGTGAAGGACGCTTGAGTGAGAAATTTGCAAATGCAATGCAGCATATTGTTAGTGATGATCTAAGGTAGAAGTACCTTTCGCCTCATCCTTTTTCACCCTTCCTTTTTTTTTTCTTTGGCAGTAGTAATAGATAT